GCCGGACAGGCGCCCGCGGCCGCAGCAAGAGCCTTCGCAGCGCACCCAGCGCCGCGCCCACCAGCCGCGCGTCGCCCTCGCCCAGGGCACCCAGGAGCGCCGGCAGCAGCGTGGTCTCGTGTCGCACCTGCGGGACAGTGGCGGTCATAGTTCGGGGTGGGCCCTTGGGACCACACCCCGGCCCGGCCCCGCCCGCGCCGCTCACCTGCCGGCGGTTGAGCGCTAGGTGACCCAGGCCCAGCAAGCCCAGCCAGCGAACAGTGGGCTCGGGGTCGCCCTGCCAGGCGCGGAGCCGCTCCAGGATGGCTTCCTCGTGCAGGAGCCGCGTCGTGGGCTGGCTCTGCAGCAGCTGGGTGGGTAGAACGAGTCCACACACTCAGGCTGGCGGGGAGAGGGGTGCTCCGCTCAGCGACCATCCGCCCTCCCTATCCACGCATCCCGGTCCCTGGACCAGATTAGGGTGGGGACGCACCCCGGTGAAGAAGGCCATAGCCGTGAGGCGCTGCGTGTCATCGGCACTGCGAAGGCGGGGCAGTAAGTCTGCGAAGAGGCCTCGCAGGTGGTGGTCGGCATGTGCCACGATGGCGCTGGGGAGGAGAGGAAGGGGAGTTAGCCCTCTGGGCCATCCTCAGGCCCATTTCCCGGAGCGCTGGCCAGCCCCTCCACACCTGGCCAGCAGCAGGACGCCTTCCAGGTGTGTGTGCGCTCCCGCCAGGCTCCGCCAGCCTCCTGCTTGCTCCATGCAAGTGACCACCATGCGGCTGCCATCCCCCGTGAGCAGGGCCTTCAAGGCCTCCACCGCGCAGCTGAAGGAGGGCAGTGGACAGTGAAGCTGGAAGGCCTGGTTGCCCGTCACGCCCTCTCAGGTGACGCGCTCACCTGGTGTGACTGGGCGGTGGTCCTGGGTGGGTCGGGGTCCATGTCTTGGGGGTGTCAGGGGAGCGCGCGCCACGGGCCAGCTCATGGAGCTGCGTGACCAGCGCGAGCAGTAGGTGCGGGTAGAAGCCCCGAGTGGCGCCCACACAGCCCGACACGGTCAGCATTTCCCCGAGGGCTCGTGTGGCCTGCGGAGCAAGCCACTTGCTTAAGCCCCACGGGGCACATCTGAGGGGTGGGCGCACACTACACTGGATGGGACAAAGTCTCACCCACGCGCGGGCTGTTCCCGAGACTACTCCCCCTCACGACACGCCGCCACCTACCGCCAGCGCCTCCTGCTCAGGCCCGGCCGCGCCCTTCAGCGCCCACAACAGTTGTACCAGGACCTGTCCGTTCACACGCTGGTTCCGACTCAGGCTGCGCCACAGCTCAGCCGCCGCCCTAAGGGGCGGGGGCGGCGGTGAGACCAGGGTCCGGACAGGGAGCGGGCTAGAGTGGCAGCAGCCCCCAGGACTTCAGCAGCAGGGGCACAGGTAAACCACGCCCCCTCTCCACAATCCCAGAGAAACAAAGTGGCATCTTTGCCCATCACACCAAGCCCGCCCACCAAACCTGGGTTTACCAAACACAGCCGGAGATTTAGGAGGCAGGCCAGCCTAATTATCTCCGTGGAGAGGAGGAGAAGGGCGGGCACAGAAGTCCCGCGGGCCCACCCGGCCTGGGGCGAGCGCCCACGGGTGCCTAGCCCAGGTACCCAGGCTGCAGAGCAGGCAGGACTGATGCTCCCGCCCCAGGGACCAGACCGCCCGGGGAAGCCACGCTGGAAGCCGGAAGGAAGCCCTGCGGTGACCGCGGCGGTGGTTACCGGTCCGGAGGCAGCGAGCGGGGCAGCAGCGCTCCCACGACGTCCCGCGCGTGCTCTAGGGCCAGTGCGCTCAGCACCCGCAGGGCCGCCCGCCGGGGCCGCCCCTCGGCCAGGCTGGGCACCTGCACTAGCAGCCCGCGTACCAGAGCGTGCACCTGGGGCAGAGGGGCGCCAGTCAGAGCGGCAGCCTGCCTTGACCCCAGCACCCACCGGCAGGCAGCCTGTGAGCCAGAGGTAGCTCCCACCTCCATCCTCAGAGGGAAAGGCAGGAGTGGAGGGGGAGGAAGGGACCCTGTGGAAAGGGGAGGTCAGCGTGGGAAGCAGGGGCTGACCTGGTCCTCTAGCCTTTCTCCTCTGGCCTCCAGGGCAGAGGACAGCGTGAGTGCTGTCGCCTGGGTCCCCGCAAAGCCAGACTCTTCCAGACAGGCAGCTGTGTACAATGCCAAGTCGGCCAGGGCCCCCTCTTCCCCGGAACAATGTGGGACCTAGGACGGGGTGGGAGGAGCATATGAAATCCCAAACCCCTTCTCCTTCCCTTGGCATCCTACCCTCCCCAGCCCTCGGCCCTCCTGCCCTTGCTACAGGGCCGCAGCCCTTCTGCTGCCCCCACCAGCTCAGGTTACCCTTACCTTTCTCTCTAGCACCCTCCAGGGCCCCCAGCCTCTCCCTCCTCACCTGGTGAGCTCCCTCAGGGCGAGGCTCCTGGTTGCTGGGTGGGGAACAGGGCACAGCCTCAGGGACACAGACCTGGGCCTGAGGGTCAGGTTCCTGGGGCACAGCAGCTAGGGGCTTCCCCTGAGTGGCCCGGATGCCCTCCGCCAGAGCTGTCAGCGTCAGTGCCCCTACCGGGGCACCCCGGCTCCGGCCCCACAACCCCCCAGCCATGGCTGCCTCTCGAAGAGCTTGTTCAGCAGGGCCCGGCTGGCAGCACCTGTCACTGTCCTCTGGGAAGTGTTCAGGCCTGACCTAGAAGCAGACTGGGGGCGGGTCCGAAGAACAGGTGGGGTGTGGCTGTGTGTGCGTGTGCACCAGCGTAGGGGGCTGGAGTGCCACGCAGAGGGGCCTCTGGCAGGGAGCCTGCTCTGGAGTGTCTCTCCATGGCCCTCTTGCCCAGGCTGATGAGGACAAGCTCAGGGGCCTGGGGGAGGGCTCTTTAAGGGAGGCCGAGCTCTGGGCCCTGGCAGGTGTGGATAGCAGCAGGAGGCCCCAACAGGCTATGCCAGGTTTGCCTGACTCAGGCCTAAGCAGAGATTGGGCTAAGCCAGGCCTGGGGAACAGGGCTGCCACAGCCCACATTCCTTGTCTCCCTGGTGCATCTCAGGAATGTTTGGGGGAGTTGTCACCATCTCTGCTCCCTGGAGTAGCCTTGGGGTGGGGCAAGAGAGGCAGAACAGTACTGGTACTGCAACACCAGCACACACACACACACCCACTGCACTTCTGGGGGCCTGGACTGTGGGGGCACTCTCCGTCCTGGCTGGGCCAGAGTCCCAGGGGCCTGGCACCGAAGAAGGTGGGCAGGACTTAGTGATCTGGGCGTGGGTGGGGTGAGGGGTGGGCATGTATGTTCTGCCCAGTTTCAGTGTCTGTGTCCCTGGTGGCCAAATGAGGAGTCTGCCCCGGATCCTTTGGCCCACCCCACCCACCACCACAGCAGGTACTGCCCAGCTCAGAGCCCCAGGGGAGCCGGATGAGCCAGTTAGGCAGAATACCTGGCAGGCAGAAGTGCTCCTGGAAGCTCCCCCAAAGAGCCACCACCCCCATTATACCATGCCGACCTAGCCCTGATGGCCACCCTCCTGCCCGCAACTTCCACCAAGGTTCTCCACCCCAACCCTGAATCCTTTGGAGTGCAGGTTGCCTGAGCGCGCAGAGGCTGGATGATCACCTTGCCCACACCATCGGGGCAGCCCATGAGCTGCTGGGTTAGGCATTGGGTCTGAGCATCCAGGGCATGCCTGGGCTGGAGGGGCAGGAATTCCCCGGGCGTGCTGGGAGAGGTGGGAGGCAACGGGAGGAGCTTTGGCTCCCAGTGGCAGGAGCAGACACATCCAGACTTCTCCTCAGCTTCCGAAGCCTGGCATGCTCCCACTGCCCCCAAGCCAGGGCCAGAGCCCACATGACCTCACTGAGAACCTAGCCCTTCAAGGACAGCTTTCAGCAAAGAGCCACCAGCTCTCCGACTGGCAGCAGAGGGGGCCCAGGAGGTCGGACAAACCACTCAGACACGTTTGCAGGGCAATGATTGACTCATGTTGTGCTCTGAATCCACCAGCCCCCCAGGGGACTCTCAGGCAGGGCACTCTGCCTTCAGCCTGTCCACCAGAGCCCGCAGCTGCTCAGACAGCGCCACCTGCAGGGGAAGAGGAGGGCTGACACAGTGGCCACAGCTGAGGGTAGTCAGGCCACCAGCCACTGAGACCCTTCACCCACCTGGCACAGCTGGGGGCTCTCCAGCCATCTGTGGGCGGGGCTGAGGCAGCTCAGGGATTGCTGTGCCAAGGTTCTGGACTCGGCCAGGGAGGGAAGAGGCTCACACAGCTAGAGGAGAGGAGGAAAGTGGGCTCAGGGGTGGGGCTTGGGACTCGGCCTGGGGTTAAGGGTGTAGATAGACGGGGTGCGAAGTGACTACCTGTCCCTGCTGGACCCAGAGTTGCAGCAGTGGCTCCACCCGAGCGGGCCTCACAGCCATCAGCTCCTGGGCCCCCTTTGGCCACACCTTCAGCTCCCTCCCAGCCTGGGGTGGTGGCTCTTCGGCCAGCTGCAGCAAGTCCAACAGCAGACACCCTGTTGGGGACAGAGAATGAAGTGTGGGGCTGGGGCCTTCAAGGGGGTATGGGAGGCAGGGGGGAGTCTCACCGTCTGAACTCAGGAGACGGAAGGCGGCCTTAACTCCAGGAAGGGTCAGCTTCTCTGTGTCCTCGGTCAGCTTCATCCGGGGCTGGCCCCCCACAGCCACCAGCTGCTAGGAGGCCGGTTGCTGAGTGGCTGGGCCCTTGGTGCCCCCTTAACTGCCCAGGCCCACCCTACCTGGGGCAAAGACCCACACCACCTCACCTCACCTTGTAGACACAGCCCAGGGAAGGCTGCCGGGGGCAGGTGACCAGGCTGGTACCAATACCAATGATGTCCACCTCACTGTCCTGAGGGGGACAGTGTATGCCAGCTCAGCTGGGATTGGCAGAAGCCCCAGGACCCTTCCGGCCACCCTCCGGCCGACCCTCCACCTCCTGGGCCAGCCGGGCCAGCTCCTCCTCCTCTATGTTGTTACTGACAGCAATGAGGACTGACTCCAGCCAGGGCACCTGGAACCTATGAGGCAGGAGGGCAGCCTTCAGTGGAGCCCCCCTTCCCGCCAGCCACCATGCCCCTTCCTCCAGAAAGGAATCCCTGTTGTTTCATTGGCAGAGCACTCCCTGGCACTCACTGGGCAGCAGTGGCCCGCAGGACTCCTCGAACCTCCTGGGCCTGCTGAAGCAGATCCCCACTGTCCAGGCGCACGCCTGCAGCATGGTAGCCCAGTGTCCCCAGGGCCAGGGCCACGGCCAGGAAGTTGGGGAGACCACTCCTGCAGAGAGGATTAGGGTAAGTGGCTGAGCTGGCTCTGGTGCCCATCCTAGGTCCCCAGTCTCACCTATGCACACAGTAGGAATCCAGCAGACCCTGGAAGGCCCGGGGGAAGGCCAAGGCATAGGCCACAAAGGCTGCCCGCTCCCCCCGGTGTGGCTCCTGCACCCCCAGCCCCAGGTGGGTACACACACGCTCTAGCCACACCTCCACCTGGACAGTCAGGTCTACCCTCGGGCCCTCACCAGTGGCCGGGGCCAGCATCTGTGCAGAAAGGGTATGAGTGGAGCAGTTGTGGATGGGTGAACCGAGGGCCTTAGCTGGCCTGGCCCATCCCTCCCTGTGGGACAGAGGCTCACCTCAAGCCTGCCCTTTGGCTCTAGGCAAGGGAGGGAAGGGGTTACTGACCGGGTCAGGTGGCACCTCAGTGCCCACAAAGGAAGTGATGAAGGAGTGTGCCAGAGTTCCGGCCACTGGCACGCCCCGCAACTGGCCGGCCAGCACATTGCTGGTGGCGTCGAAGCCTAGGCAGGGGTATCAAGCAGGTTTGGAAACGGTTGGGGGAGGGAGAACGGGAAGGGGGAATGAGATGGGAGACCTCCTCCTTCCCTCCTGGTCCTCACCACCCAGGTAGCTGTAGGTGGAAGCCGTGAGCCCCCCGTCCGGACCTTGGGCGCGCCTCAGTCCCATCTCCAGCAGCCGTTTCTTCGGCCCTGCGATCAGGCGAAGCCGCGCTGCATTGGTGGCAATGAGGCTGTGGACGCAAGGAGACAGTCAGGGTGATGCTTCCAAGCTGCCCCACGGGCCCGTCCCCAAACCATACCCTCAAGCCCGCCCCTTCAGCGCCGGGTCCAAGTTGGCTAGTCTAGGGGAGGCTTCCCGTCTCGGGGCCCACCTGGCATAGCTGACCAGGCAGAGTAGCGGCGTCTCCAGTAGCTGCACCACTAGGAGAGGCCCGGACACCTGCAGCAGCGGCACCTGCGTCGGGGGCGAGGAGGGGGCCGGGCCGGGCCTGGTTAATTCTGCTCCGCCCCGCCCCGCCCCGCCCCCTGTCTGGCCCGCACTTACACCTGGCAAGGCGAGCGAACCCTCAGGCAGAGCCCGCACGGTCACCTCGGAGCAGTCCAGGGCCCGCAGGTGCTCGAAGAAGGCCGGCTCAGTGTCCGGAGGCAGCACTGAGGCCAGAAACTGAACATCTGGGGCAACAGAGACGCCCGTGGGCGGGGCAGGCCCGGGCGAGGGTGGGGGCCGGGGGGCCGGGCGGGGGGCTACCTGCGTTCCTCAGGCGGAAAGTGCGCAGGAACCGCACGCAGTCGCGCAGCCCTGCAGCCAGGGTGAAGGCGCCGCCGAACGGGCAGCGGCGAAAGAAGAGTTCGAACTCGGCCACCTCCCGCGCCCGCCCCGCGCGCCAGTAGCCCAGCGCCATGGTGGCCTGGTAGAGGTCAGTGAGCAGCGGCCTAGCTGCTGCACGGCACTCGGGGTCCTGCTCGGAGCCGGGCGCTGCCTCCGCCATCCCATTCCTGGGCCCCTGGACTCTGGCCGGCACCGCCCACCCGCCCACGTGACACCCCCAGCCAGTGACTGCGCTCGCGGCCGAGGTGCCCCACCCCCGGAGTTCCAAATTCCGCGGACATGGAGCCGGGCCCTGGGGCTGCTCAAGTTTCCCGGACTCCAGGAAGTGGCCGACCCGCCCCGACCAGGCGCAGGCGGTTACGCAACATTTGGTGGTGCTGGGGGCAGGTCATGAGAACCGGGTCAGGGCGTTAGTCTGAGCCAGGGCTGCACCAGCATGGCCATCTCCGTCGGTGAGTCTCTAACCCGAACCCACGTGGTCGTACACCAAGTGGTGCAAGTGACAATTGCAGCACTACAGTGGGGTCAGCCTCCATGCGGCCCACAGCCTAGCCAAGGAGGCTCTGCTTTGAGGATAGCCATGTGACTCTGGAGTGGGCAAAGTGCCAGGGAAAGCGGCCAGCCTTGCCCCGAGGGGCTGACAGGTGGAAAGGCTACAAAGCCTAAAGGGTGGAGTTGCCCCACAGCGCCCCCAGGAAGTGACCCACCCTTTCACCCCAACACCAGGGCAGGGTCCAGTGGCTGTCAGCCAGGGAGGAGCCAAGGGCCAGTGGGACCTCAGGACAACCAGATGCGGGGACCGGAAAGGCCATGGGCAGGGGTGGGCTGCATGCCCTGTTTGTGACCAAAGTGACCTTCTTTAGGCATAACTACCTGACCCTGATGCCTCAGGCAGGTCAGTCTGAGAGTGGATGAAGGGTACCAGGGCAGGGTCACCCCAGGGTCGGGAGCAGGGAGCTTGGTCTCTGGTAGCAGCCATGCTAGACCTGTGCCCCGCCACCCACCATGGGCTCTCCCACTAGCAAGACAGGAGCCAGGCTGTGCACATAATCTTTAATGGGTCACCACACACACCACTCCAGGCTCAGATCTTGTTGAACGCTGCGATGTCCACGCTCTGCACCTGTGGGAGGAGGTGGGTCAATAGGCGAGACGCTGAGGCCACCCCACCCCCACCCCCAGCCATCTGGTCACTCACGTGCTCCTCAAACTTGGTGATCTCCTCTTCCAGCAGGTCTGTGCCCACCTTGTCGTCCTCCACCACGCACTGGATCTGCAGCTTGCGGATGCCGTAGCCCACTGGCACCAGCTTGGAGGCCCCCCAGGTCAGCCCGTCTAGCTGGACAGAGCGCACGCAGGCCTCCAGCTGCCCCATGTCTGTCTCATCATCCCACTGTGGGCGAGAGCCAAAGACTGCACGTGAGCCAGCTGAGGACTCGGCAGGTGAGGCCATTCTGAGGGGCCTTCCCGCAGACTCCTAGCCACTCACAGGCTTGACGTCCAGCAGGATGGAGGACTTCGCCACCAGCGTGGGCTTCTTGGCCTTTTTCTCGGCATACTGCCGCAACCGCTCCTCCCGAAGGCGGGCCGCCTCCTTGTCCTCCTGCTCCTCGTCACTGCCAAACAGGTCGATGTCGTTGTCCTCGTCGTCCTCCGCCGGCGTGGCTGCCTTTTGAGCTGGGGGGGCCACTTGACGCATGGGAGACACGTGCTGCGTGGGGAAAGGAAGCTGAGGCTCCATGGGCAGCCAACGGGCCCTGCTCCAACCTCCCCTCCCACCCAGCGGGCCCAGGGAGCGCACCTGGGTCTGTGGGGCCGTGGGCCGGTGGGCGGGCGAGTTCCTCTCCAGCTGGCTCAGTCGAGCCTCCAGCTGCGAAAAGGCCCGCTGCAGGTCCTGCACCACTGTGGGGTGGGGCGGAAGGATCAGGGGCAAGGCCCAGGAGGTAGGGGCAGGGGGAGCTGTCCTCACCAGGACCGGGGGGCACTCACCACTGCGCAGGTTCTGGTTCTCCATCTCCAGGCTAGCAAGGTGTGCGAGCAGCTCACTGTGGTCCCCACCGGGCCCGCTAGCAGCCCCCGAGCTCTGTAAGGTGGGGCAGCGTGACTGTCTATGCAAGAACCCCACAGCCAGTCTGGCGCGGACACCCAACAGTGGTGGACCAGGGCAAGGGGTCAACGTTCTCAATGCAGGCCACCCTTCCCCAATGGCAGGCAAAGCCCTGAGGATGGGGGCAGCAGGGAGGGCTGCTGAGGGGACCATAGGGACAGAAGGCAGGGGGCCCAGGGCCACCCAAGCAGAGGCAGTGTGAGCTCTAAGCTGCCCCCCACCGGAGAGGACTTACAATCCCTGGGGCAGCTGGGCTGGGGGCCACAGGGGGGCTGGGCAGCACGGCCTGCAGCTGGAAATGGGAAGGGCCGTGAGGTAGGCATGGAGCCTCCTGCTCCCCCTTGCACAAGTGGCAGCCAAACGCTTGCCCACCGCCCTTTAGCCCCTATGGGCCCTGCTCTCACATGCTGGCTCAGGCCTCCATGAGGGCCCCAAACATTGGCAGGCAGGCAGGCAGGCAGAACACTCCTGTCTGCATCCGACTCAGCTCTCACAGGCTTTCCGCTTAGCCAAGGACCCCAGAGGGTGCCTCTACCTCAAGGTCCTGTCCTCAGTCAGGACAGGACTGTCCCCCCTCCCCCCATGCCAGTCCCCAACCCCAGGCTTTGAGCTTCCTGAGCAGCATGAGGCAAAGGCAAAGCCAGGGTCCAGGAGACCTATCCCCACTGCCTGCCCAGGCTCCTCAGCTCCAGGCCTAACAGAGGCCAGGAGTGCAGGCTTGGCTGAAGAGCAAGAAACGCTGCCTCCCCAGATGCTGTCATGTCCAGGTTCACCCCCTCCTCCCCCCAGTGTCCCGGGGTCTGCTGAACTCTGGCCTGGTCCAGCGAGCAGCTTCATGGTCTTTAAGCCCCAAGTGTTCCCGCCTTCCCTTCACAAAGCCAGGCACTTAGCAGGGCCAGTGTGAACAGGGCCTACCTACCAAGCCACCCGGACCATAGCCAGGAGCGAGGGGCTAGACTGGTGGCCTGGGGAAAGGCAGGGGTCTGTGCTGGGGGTGGGGAGACCCTGCCAGTTTGAACCAAAGGGAAGAGAACTGCACCCCCCGCCCCCCACCCCACCCCCAGGATGGACCCTGAGCTCCCACAGCTGGAAGCCAGAGTTTGCCTGGCTGGGACAGGTGACCCCTTCCCGTCGTTTTCTCCGTCTTGGAATGGGGGGGGGGTGTCTAAACTGTCACCCTATGTCTGTCCCAACGTACTTGGGGAGCAGACGGCTTACTTTTCCACCTCCGAGAGGGAGTGTCCCCAGCAGACAGATCTTAGGCATTGCCGAATGCATCTGCCTGGGTGCCAAGGGGCTGTGGTTGACAGAGTAATGCCCCCAAGGATGTCACAGCTTAGTCCCCCCAGTGTGGACTTTGTGACAGGGAGGTCTTCACGGGGTGTCAGGCAAACCCACAGTCACAGTGGCCCTCCCCCTATGAAAACAGGGGCCAGAAAGCTCAGGGGGTCTGGGGAGCAGAGACAGGGGTGCTGCCTGAGCTCCCCAAGTCTGAGAAAGAGCATGGATCCCCAGGAAGCCTCCTGGGCAGTGAACTCCTATGGGCCCTACCTGCCTCCCACCCAGCACCTGCCACTCCCGGTCCAGGCTGTAAGTGCAGGAAGATGGCCGGGTTCTACACCTTTACCCTGACACAGCCCAGGGGGATGGGGGAGGTGAGCTGAGAGCAGGGCAGGAAGGGGGCAGTCTGCAGCCTGCTGTCCCAGCATGCGGTGAGCCCCGGAAGCAGGCGAGAGGCAGGATAAGCAGGGAAAGGCAAGCAGAGCAGTCCGGGCCACCTCCCCGCCCCTCAGCAGCGGCCTGGAGGCCAGACGCGGCTCCACCGGCCTGGGGTACTCACCCCGGCCAGGGATTTCTGGATGTTCTCGCGGGCTCTTGCGATGTCCCGAAGGATCACGCTGGCGCCGTTCTCCTGCAGGCGGTGCACACACAACCCAGGCTGGCTTTTTTTTTTTTTTTTTAATTTTTCCCAATAAGATTTTCATTGACAACAAGGAAGAAATCACTGCCAAGATGTTCGCCAGAGGGGGAAGGGATGGTGCGGAGCAGGCAAAAGCCAGCAGCAGGAGCAGCACGGCCTGCACCAGCGTGCCCATGCCTAGAGACCTCCCTGTCACCCACAGGCACCCACACAAGCCGACTTCCAGAGGCCAACACCTCAAGCGAAGCTGCTGCCCTGTGGGTGCCTGGCCTCACCTGACGGGAGCAGCCAGCCTCTGGCCCGCTGGGCTGCTCGTAGAATCTGCGCTCTGCGTCATCGTACTTGAACTTCTCGAACCAGATCTTCTCGTGCACCAAGAAGTTGCTGGTCATTTTCCTGCTGGGAGGGAGGCAGTGGCCCAGTTGGCAGAGGCCCGGGAACCATGCATCCGACCACCCGGTGGGCTGCCTGCAGTCAGTCTACAGGGCGGGCTGAGTGGCTCCCACCCAGGCAGCCCCACCACTCATGGGCCACAGAACAGCAATTCCAACGCCACTTCCTGGGAGACCACACAGGAGATCACCCGTGGGCCTCAGGGGCCCACCCCTCCGAAAAGAACCCTGGAGCGTAAGGTCGCTGCCCTGCCCCGTGGCCCTACAGGACCAGAGCCTGCTGTCCTGGCCATCAGCCCCACACAGCAGCCACTCCCATCCAGCCCGGCCTGCTCAGTGAGTCACTGGCCTTAGGGAAACCACTGTCTCCATCAGAGGCCAGAGCTGGTGGCCATGCTTCCTGGAGAAGAGGTGGGCCCCAAGCATAAGGTGACCAGACATCCCGGTTTTTTGAAAGAATGCGCGACAAGCTAGGGTATACGGTTTTCGGCTGCCATGTGGCTATTTTGCAGGGTGTCCCACTTTACCAATGTTAAAATCTGGTCACCTTACCCAAGCACCACAGAGCTGCCCCCCACCGCACAGGCCTCGCCCTTCAGCCCTTCCCATGTGGGTGTGGGTCACACCCGTGCCACCAATTCCACAGGGCCTCAGTGATCCCAAAGACCCAGTTCTACCCACGCAGCTGCTTTGGCTGCCTGACAAGGGTCCTCATACCGAGCCCTAAGCCAAGAGTTTACCGGAGATCACTGCCTCCCCTCAGCAGCCAAGCATCTGCGTCCACTTGTCCTGCTGTACCGGCTGAGGGCCCACTAGGCATGGTGGGTGCCAGGCAGCCCCAGGCAAGGGCCTCCAGTAAGAGACACCCAGTACCCAGCCAGTGCCGACCTACTCTCAGAACAGCTATCAACCACGAGAGCCCTGGGGCTGGGGGGCCTCTGGCACCCCACCTCACAGGAGGCTCTGGTCAGGAGCCAGTTGTGAACCTTGCCCTGCTCTGGTCTGCGCTCAGGGCCTCCTGTCCCAAGCCTTCCCTCCACACCCCCGCCCCACTCTCCTGGACCAACGCTCTCAGGGCCCCCAGGGCAGGTGGGGAGAGGACCCAGGGGCAGCAGAGCGCGGTTCCTACTTGGGTCTCAGGCTGGACATGGCAGGGCTGGAGCGGGGTGCTGGCCGGAGGGCCAGGGAGGCGGCCTCGAGGCGCCAGGCCATACGCAGGGCCTGGGCAGCATGGTGGTGGCACTCGGCACTGTCGTATGCAGGCTTGCTGAGCCAGGGAGTCTCTGAGTCTTTATGCAGGAAGTACCAGTAGGGAAGGGCAGGAGCCGCCTCCCCGTCTGCCCGCCGTGGCCCTGCCCGCCTGGCCCCCACAGCGTTGCGGCTGCGGCGGTCCCTGCGGCCACGCCGGGAGCCCTCGCTCTGGCCCGCCCGCTCCTGCAGCCGCACCTTCCCTGGGGGGTGGCCGTCAAACTGGGCCTCGTAGAAGCCCCGCTCGGCTGCATCATAGCGCGGCTTCTCCAGCCATACCTCCTGCACCAGTGCCTGCAGGCTGCCCAGGGGTGGCTGGCCGTTTGCAGGAGGGCTGGACGGATGGACCAGGGCCAGAGCGGAGGTAGCTGGCCTCTGGCCTGTGTCCAGGACATCCTGCCCGCCACGCCCCTCCTCGACCAGCAGCAGGGCCTGAGACCACTCCACAAAGGCCCGCTCTGCCTGGTCGAAAGAGGACTTGTTCACCCAGATGCCCCAAGTCACATGGTGGCAGGCCACCTGGCTTCCATGGGTGCAGGGGCCTCTCTGGGCCAGGGCAGGCCGGCCGGCCGCCCCAGCCAGCCTCTGGCGGTAGACACTCTCCGCTTGATCAAAGAGGGGCTTATCCAGCCACACGTGGTCAGCTGAGAGGCCCACAAGGGCCAGGTTGTCAGCCTGGCCCAGCCAGGCCCGTGGGGAGCGCTTCCTCTTCTTCTGCAGCGGCTTCCGCCCTGAGTGGGTCTTCCTGGAGTCTGCCCTGCTGCTGCTGTCCCCGATCTCCTCCTGGCCAGGCCCGTTCAGGGCACCCTGGGCAGCGGCGGCGGCAGCCTGGGTGGCCGCGAGTTCGTAGTAGCGCCGCTCGGCCTCCTCATACATGTGCTTGTCCTCCCAGACGGTCTCCAGGGCCCACGAGGGCTGGCTGCTCCTCATCTGCCCGGCGCAGCCGTGAAAAGCAAGCACAAGAAGGCAGCTGCAGCAACCCAGCTGGCCAGCATCGCAACGCCAGCCTGCAGAGCCCAGGGGAGGCCCAACACGGCAGCCCCGCCCCTGCCTGGCAGCCAGCACTGCTGTCCACTGTCAGGGAGGCAGGGCAGGGAAGGCACAGCACTCGCTGTCTGGCTTTCAGACCCGCGGGCCCCGGCACACCCTGGTACCCACACTGCCCACCATCTCTGGAAGTCAAACGTGGTTCAGAGGACTTGCTTCCTGGCACAGGGAGCTGCCCAGTGCCTGCCTACCCCTGCCTTTGCTAGGCCCGTGCCTGTCCATCTAAACACAAGGACCAAGGGGCACCACCCTTTGGTACCTGGGGTCAGCAATGGGCACATGCCCCCAGCCCTCGAGCCTCAGCCACCCCTGGGAGCAAGAGGGGATGGGTGCCTGATTCTCAATGGCCTTTCTCTGCCTGGAGAGATGGCCCCTGGGGGCAACACCCACCCAGGAAATGGCCCTGCCCCTACTCCTGCTCCTAGTTAGGAGTGACATTTGGCTTCTAGACAAAGATCAGCCAGGAGCAGGCTGAGAGAGGGCGGGAGCCACAGCAGCCAGACCAGCCCACCGCCTCCCTTCTCTGGGGTATGCAGGCCTGGCAACCAGGCATAGGGCACCAGGCCTCTAGAGGGAGGGCCTCGGCGACCCTCTCCTGACCCCTCCTAAGCTGGCTCCAGCTCCCCTGGGGTGTTTTAGGGGGTGCTGACATCCCACTCCTGTCTGGAGGACCCAGGAGCCCCCGCGGCAGCCCCCTGCTCACCAAGGCCAGGTGCTGGGGCAGAGGCAGTGGGGATGCAGGACTAGAGCCTGGGGGCTGGCCATTGTGACATCACCACTGGCCAAGGGCCAGAGAGCCTGCTGCAGCTACAACTGGTTTCAAGGGGGTGGGCTGAGCAGGCAGGTATATGGAGCCTAAAGGTGGCAGTTCTCAGGGGCAGCGGATAGTGCCCAGGAGTCTGCATGCCCGCCAGCTCCCCAACTGGCCAGGGAGAAGAGAACCCACACACTGGTGAGGGCTGTGGCCCCTGGCCACTACCCCCATGGCTGCACACAAGACATGGAGGCCGAAGTCCAGCCAGCAGCTGGCAGACCCTGGGGTTGTGCCATCTGCGAGGGAAGAGAAGTCTGGGCAGGGTCCCCGAGGGCCATGGGGGCAAGGGTACTTACTTTTGCTGAGCTCCTAGGACAGCACAGAGGGAAAGGAGTACGGTTAGAGGTAGCTGACCAGACAGACCCCCGTCACGGTGGAGGCATTGAGTCACCCTCTGGCCCTTCCCACAGCACCCGTGCCCATTGTATGGCTGGGCTACAAGTCTCTTCAGACCAACCATCTCTCCACATTCCCGAGTCCACTCGCCCCTGCCTCCGACCCCCAGAGGGCCACACCTTCCCTCCCCACAGCTGTCCCCAGCAGGAGCTAGGTCCCAGGCCTTGCCCCCACCTCTACCCATATGGTGGTGCTGCAGCCTGGGACACCGGGAGGCCACACCCACCTTCTGAGGGGTCCTGGTACCCTCACCGGGTGTGGGGGGGGCTCTCCACAGAGCAGACAGGGCCCCGACGTCCACCACCCAGTAAAAGGCCTGAGTCTAGGAGCTCAAGGTAGGGCTGGGGGCTGGTCCCCCTTACAGCTGGAGCTAGGGCTTGGGCAGCCCTCCTGGCTGGCTGGGTGGTGCTGGCAGGAAGGTGGCACATCACAGGAGCCTTGGTGTGCAGATAACCAACCACCAAAGACATGGGGTGGTCGATGGGCAGGGAAAGTCACCATGCTTGCAAAGCTTAACACCCACCCACAGTGGGTGGTACAGACACCCCATGCTCTCCTGCACATGCCTTGGGTCCAAACTGGCCTCCTGCTGTGACACTGTGCCCATACCAGCCTGTGGCTCCCTCCCTCTGAGGGGCCAAGCCTCCACGCAGAGGCATGACCTGTGACCCTGCCCCCAAGGCCAGCAGCCCATCCTCAGGTTGCTGGCCAGTGATTCTGACTGGGAGGCAGCTGCTAGCACCTGGAGTGTGGCCAGGGGATGAGCTAGGGGCTTGGTAACTGTAGCCACTTAGATCGGCCACACGAGGCTTCTCCAAACACAGTGACTGTGGCCCAGGGTGACCTTCCTGTCCTCCTAGGGGGCAGTGTCACTGCCCAATCCCATCACCAGCCCTGCTGTTGGCCATCATACCGCCCATGCCCCTGACCACCCACTTCTGACAGAAATGACTTCACACTCAGGTGGGAGCACCTTCTGGGGTACTGCTGCACATGGCACACTGGAAGGCTGTCCACAGGTCCTTCCCTAGAGTGACCTCCCTCAAGAAGCCTTCGGTCAGTACGCATAGGCCAGAGGCCCCAAGCATGCAGCCGGGACCCAAGCTCCAGTCTCCCCTCCAGAGGGAGGTCTGAGGCAGACGGGTTCCAGAGTGTCTGTCTGTGCCTTTACTGGGTGGGTCCTGGGAACGTTTAACCACCCCCACACAACAAAAGTCCCTACATGAGTGTACTCGACACTTTCAGCCCAGGTCTCACGCAGAAGGGGGGCAGACCTGTAAACACGCAACCCGCGCACCCACAGGGACAAGGCCTGGGCCCCTGACGCAAACGAACTCCCACTGCCAGGCCTGTCCCTCCAGGAAAGGCAGCCCAGAGCTGCCACACGAATGCCCCTTGCTTGGGGGGCGGGGGGGAGAGGCCAGAGACGCCTTTATTCTGGACGTCCAGTTTCCTTCGCTCCGGTGCAAGCCAACACTCTCCCCCTCGGACAGTGCCCGCGCAATGTCTGTGCTCCTGACAGCACGAGCGCCAGGCCTCGGGTGCCTCACGAGCACGTGCAGGACCACGGGCTCCCGTCCCCGGGCACGCTCGCCGCAGCAGCCGGCGCCACGTGAGCAGCAGGCGGCTCCGCCCCTCTACGCCCGCGCCGCGCGCCGCACTTGGCCCACGGCCCCTGGGCCGGCACGCGTTCGGCACTTGTGCTCGGTTCCTAACGGCGCCGGAGCCCAGGCCGCCCGCCAGCCCGGCCCTCGGGCCTGCCCGGCACGCGCGGCTCCCTCC